ATTTACACAATTTTATTTATGCATGCATGTAATACAAATGAAATAATAATAATTATTATTATTATTATTATTATTATTTGAATAAAAGTGTACTGTGTACTTTGACTCAGTCATGGTTATGATTATTATTAATTATTTTATTTGATTACTATTTGATAATTTTTTCAATTATTTAAAATAATTAGAAAAGTATTATTTGTATAATTAAGGTTATTTATATTTGTGCATTGTTGTGTTTACTGAGTTTCATTTAAATGTTGTTATTTCATGTATTAAACATTATTATTTGTAGCTATATTTTATTTTTTCTTTGTTAATTTATATACAATTATTGATAATAAAATAATTAAAATGTATTAATAAAATAATTACATTTCATTTATTAAATATTGTTATTATATATATATATATATATATATATATGGATTTGTGGCAATATTTTGTTCTTTGCTTATTCTTTGTTAATTTCATTTATTAAAAATGAAAGAATAAAAAACACAAAATGTATATAACCTATAGTTAAACTATTATTTAAAAATTAAAATGAACTAAAGTCATCCGTTTCATTCTATGATCATTTATATACTATTATACTTTTTGTTAATATATAAAATATAATATTTGTTAATAGATCGTATTTTTTATATTTAGTTTTCACTTTAATTTTAGTTCAATGTTTTTACTGTTTTATTTTTATTAGCTTTTTTTAATGTCTATATAATTATTAGTTTTAATCTATTTAGTTTTGGTTATTTTAGTACTTCAAGCTAAACTGAATGAAAATAAAAAATATATATTGCCTTGTAACTAGCTGAAATAAAAGTTGACTTTTTTCAGTTAATGTTCTTTAGTTTTAATAATAATAATAACAGCACTCACTGTGTAGCCACATTTAATCAACCAATCTGTTATTTCTAATCAAACTTTAAATGATCCACTTTCAAAAGCTTGTTTCAAGTGCAGCTATTAGTTACTATCACAAAAACATCACTTGAACTCAATGAACATGAAAAACAAGCTGTTAAGTGTTTTAGAGGGGACATTATCTCAGACGTGCAGGAGGTTCATTTGGTGGCTGCTAACAAAGGCCTTCTGTTCAGCAGCGCCGTGAATCCAGGTCTCCTCTGGTATCAGCTTCTGAGCTTTACTGGAACCACGAGCCGACTGGTACGAGCTATGAAAATACTTCAGCCTCTCTTTAGATGACTGCCTTGAAATAGTGAGGAAGGTGTCACACTTGCGAAGTTCTTCATTTGGATGGAGAGCACGTTCACTACAGACTGCATCAGGTCAGATCGGTTCTCAAACTCACTGCTGCCTCCTGATGGTTATATGAGGTACTACAGCAAACAAAAACGGAAAAAAACACAATGTAAAAATTGTTTTTTAATTACATTTAAATTACTCAAATAAAGTAGGTGTTCTGACAAATTACAAATATCAAAACCCTATTTATTTTTTATTTAAACTATTTTTTTTAATCGTTCTATTTATTTCTTTTTAATTTCTTTGTATTTTAAATACCACAGGAAAATACATGATTCCTAATTTGGAACAAATCCTATTCCGATTCGTTAATGGGAAAAACAAGATCAGGAACAGAAGTGTCAGGCAGGCACAGTCAGAGATGGTCACAATAGGCTCGTTTGAGTTTTACAGGACCCTGTGAGTGTGTTTAACAGGTCACAGGGTCATTTGCTTAGACGTGCTGATCTCATTCAATCACTGGTCATGAGATCTTAACGAGATGGAGAGAGAGCGCACATGGAGACGAGGACGAATGCAGGTCAATGATAGGAAAATCATGTTTAAATAAATACAATTATAGAATAAAATTGTTACATTATTTAATGCTTTTATCGAAATTACAAGGGACAATCCACTGGAAGCAGCCTGAGTTAAAGTGCCTTGATCAAGGACATAATGGTGCAGAACTCCTCAGGTTTGAACCTACAACCTTTCAATGACCTGCCCAGATCAACAGAGAGGCCACAGCACCTGCATCACTAATACATCAACAGGATGGATGGATGGATGAAAGAGGGAAAGGAAGGAAGGGAAAAAGAATGAAGGGAGAAAGTATGGGCAGCAGATGAGGGAAGGATGGAAGAATAGAAGGAATAAATTAAAAAGTGAAGGGCAAAAAAAAGACATGGAGAGTGAAAGGAAAGATAAATGAAAAAGAATGAAGGAAACAAGGAAAGAACACGGAAGGAAGAAAAAAAGCAGGGAAGGAAAATGAAAGGTGGAAAAAAATGAAAGGAGGAAGAAGGGAGGGAAAAGAAATGAAGAAAGAACTATTAAGAAAGGAAGGGAAGGAGGACAGAAGACAGAGGGAAGAAAAAAATTAAGGGAATAGGGAAGGAAGGGAGGAAGGGATGAAGGAAAAAGAAAGAAAGAAAGAAAGAAAGAAGTAAAACAGAAGGAAGAAAAAAATAAGAAAGGAAAGAAAGGGGAAGGAAGAAAAATGAAGGGAGAAAGAAAGAATGGAGTGGAAACAGAAAGAAGAAAAATTAAGAAAGGAAGTACGAAAAATGAAGGGAGGAGGAAAGGAAGAGGGAGGAATGAAGGAAAATGGAAAGAAGAAATGAAGGAAGGAATTAAAAAAGAAGGAAGAAAAGAAGGAAATGGAAGGAAGAAAAATGAAGGGAGGATGGAAGGAAGGGAGGAAGAAAAATAAAATAGGAAGGAAGGAAAATGTAAGAGAAAAATGAAGGAAGGAAGAAGGGAGGGAAAACAGAAGAAAAAAATAAAGGAAAGAAGAAAGGAAAACAGAAGGAACTTAAAAAGAAGGAACGAAGCAAGGAAGGACTAAAAAATGAGGAAGGAAAAAGGAACAAAGGAAGGAGGTCTTCAAGGCTATATATAGAATTACTTGCCCACATCTCATAGTTAACACTGACACATATTACTATACCAACTATTTTTAATGAAAAAATGAAAAGAAAAGAAAAAGTCAAGAAATGACACACATGTGACTTGACTCCCACTACATTTCATTTAAGGCTGTTTCGGGGGAATGTCATCTCGAGATCTGCTGGATTATCAGTGTGATGAAGTTTCCCATGATACTTAGGGGCTTTTTGTTGATTCCATGGGTAAAAGTGCTCAAGTTAACACTTCAAATGGGTGGTTTGTTACAAAAACACAAGTTTCCCAATTTAGCAAGTACTGATGTCATAACTACCCGTCTGAAAGCTGTACCGCTCTCACACTTTCTGAAGAGCCACAGCTTATCTCAGAACAGCAGCAGCAGGGAAACCCCCACGATCCTTTAGAAAGGCCACAGGAACCTACAGAGGAACATTTAGCACCTGTGCAATTCACTCATTTCCTCAACAAAACCCCATTTACATCCAGTACTAAAACTGAACTGATTATCCCCATCGTTTACATATAAAAACATACCTAAAGCTGCTTTGATGCGTCAATGGCTTGTTGAATGTGAATGGATGTGTGAAGAAAAAAACGAACGATTAACGTTTTAACGGGAATATGTGCTTTACTGCTCAACAAGGATGTTTTTTAAGCTCAATAAATTTCTCAATGGAGGAACAAAGAGGCTTTGTGCGCAGAACAGCGGCTCTCGGCACAGTAGCCATCGTGAAGAAACTCAAGCTTTTCCAGGCCAAACCGAGAAACACAGCCACAAGTTTACTGTCTGTCGTCTTTTTCTCAGGTTATTTCTGTTTCCAAAACCACATTAAGCCCATTTACATTTAATTCAAGACTATTCGCCTCAATCTAACGTGGAAAAATAAATTAATGGTTAAAGTAGAAACAAACAAGTAAATAAATGTATATATATATATACATATATACTGTATGTGTGTGTGTGTGTGTGTGTGTGTAAAGAAATATAAAATGCCACAAAAATACAGAATAAGCAATAAAAAAATTAAAATAAAATAAATAAATAAATAAAAATAAACTGCATCATAAATAAAATATTAATAATTTTAATTAAGATTATCTTATAGACTATGTAAGCAAATAAATATACACTGCATGATAAATAAAAAATTGTTTATTAATAAATTTTATTAAGATGACCTTACAGACTATGTAAATAAATACACAAACTGCATAGTAAATAAAAAACTGCTTATTAATAATTTAAATTAAGATTACCTTGCAGACTATGTAAGCAAGCAAGCAAGAAAATAAAAACAAATAAATAAATAAATAATATATGTAATGTAAATTAAGATTACATTAGACTATATAAAAAAATAAATAAATATATCACTAAATAATAATAATAAAATTGCACAATAAATGCATTTTTAATCATTTAAGATTACCTTACAGACTATGTAAGCTAGCAAATAAATAAAACAAACAAAAATGCTTAATACACAAATAGCACAAATCACTAAATAAACAAATATATCACTAAACAAACAAATAATGCACAAATATTGAAAAAAACAAAAAAAACAATCAACCAAAGAAAAACACAAGTCACATGGCTATGATTGTGTGTTGTTTATAAGTTTTGTAACTTGCTAAACGTTTTCACTAAAGTAGTAACCAAGATGGGCCCTACACTGGCAACTTCACAACAGCCTATCCTACCCTAAACATCTCTGATGTAAAACCAGCAATGGTTGTTCAAACACAAAGAGATCCAAATGTAATCTGATGCACCTCTTTTCCACTGTTTACCCAACAGAACAGACCTTTCTATGCCATATATAATAAATAAAGACACAAAAACCATGAGCATGTCCTGCCCAGCAACCCTTTCCCAGAAGAACACCTCAGATCAACTAAATCAAACGTCTGGAGAGAATCACAAAGGAGCAGCGGGACCCGTTGAGACAGAGACACAGAAGCTACTCTATTTACAAAGACTGTCTGAAAACACAAACAATAGCAGGACGGCCTGACTTCATAACCCTCTTCTAATGAGAGGAACTTTGGAGGTTCTCATGTAACGCCTCTGTCTTTAGCTCAACCCCCTCAGAGGGTATAAAAGATCTGAGAGCAGCTCCACTCAGGCTTCAGACCTGCATCACCTGCGCCAATCTCACACTGCATTTCAGTCCTATTGCAATGCTGTCCCGGTGAGTACAAGTCTCTCCTTAACTTTCATGAATCTGGCCTGCTTTAATGTTCTTGTGGTGCAATGTTTTACATCGATAATGCATGCACATGCTATATGAATGAATTATAAGGAAATCTGCAAACATGATGGATAATAACTGATATTGATAAAGGCTAACTTCATTTTAGGTTAACCATTTTAAACTAGTACAATGTCTGTATCTAAATGAAAGTTTATCAGCTATACAATGTCTGAAAAAAAGTTCAGTTTAAATTAGTTTAAATTACAAATTAATAATTAATATACATTCTATAAAATGAAATATATCTAAATATATAAATTTGAGATATTTTTAGATCATCAATAATTTAGAGATTTTTTGTTTCTTTTTTTGTGAATTTTCTTTTATGTCTCGTTATATAGGACGCTGGTTGTTCCGTTGATCTTTGCATTAGTGGGTGTCTCTATTTCTGCACCAATAAACGGTAAGGAAACTTACTCAGTATGTCTGACTTCATTACATTTCTCACATATAGCTTACATAAATACCATTACAGATCACCCCGAATCCCTAAATTATTATCAGTGGCATGCACCACCAGCTCTTCTTTCTAAGTAACACGAAGCATTTACTGCCTCACTATAATGAGACTGTAATCAGAGCCCTTCACTGAACACAAAAGAGTTCTGTTCACCTGTGCTGCTACATTTAGCCTGGGCCTCTATAGGAGATATAGGACTCTTATAGCTCAATGCACTCACACCACTAACTGACCGTCTTGTCTTTTGTTTTGATACAGATGGAACAGATAATGATGGTAAGAATGTGTCTCTTATACACATTAACCTTAATTATAATGCAAATGATGACTTTTTAAGTTAATTAGTGCCTCTGAATACATGAGCTATGTTAGAACAATGAATTGCATTGTACTACTACAATTGTTCAAGAAAGCCATATAGACAGAAAAATCCCTCTTTAATCAGAGTTGTTTCTCCTAAACAGAAATGGGATGGAATTAGATGTACTTTTCCTTAGAAAAAGGCCCCAGCAATCTCATATGTGTCTCTGAGAGTTTCAGAAGAGATTTCAGCAATGCCTGCAATTAAACGATAGAGATCTCTATATGAATCAGATTCTTTCAAATGTTGCTTTGCACAATGATTTTATAGCTCTATAAGCTCTATACATCCTCTGGGCAGGCAGACTAGTTATAAAGAGGACAAAAAGTATCTGGTTCTAAATGAATTTTGTTCTGACTTTTATGTTATAATCTCAGAGGCGGCTGCAGCCCTAGGGATCCTCAATGGTAAGGTGCAATGAATTTGAGCTATATTTCTGCATAAATCAATTGACCATAGAAGGGTTTCCAGTTGATCTGAAAAACATGTTTTTATCTCTTTTTTTTCAGCTCCTCCAACTCCACTCCCTGGAAATGGAGACTCAGGTTGGTCTGGCTGATATTGATCACGTTTCGCTGTAAAATGTGTTATATAAAAATAGTCCAATAAGATAGACGTGAACATAAATTTTAACATCAAGGTCTAGACAAAGAGCAGTGTTGTGAGTGTTATTAAAACAATTATTAAAAAATATGTTATAAAAAAATATATAAATATTAGGTAAAAAACATAAATATTAGAAATAATAAAATAATGTACTAAAATGAAATAAATCAAATATAAACAATAAATATTTAAAAAGTCCAATAATGAACTTAATTTGAATGTCAAGATTTAGACAGTGTTGTTAATGTTAACTAAAACTGTTAAAATATTATGAAAAATATTATTAAAAACTATTAAAACATTTTCATTAACTGAAATAAAGCTGAAACAATATCAAATAACAAATATTAGATGAAAAACTTCAAATTAAAAATAAAATTAGAAATACTGCCTTGGCAACTAACTGAAATAAAATGTAAGTTTTTTACATTTAAAATGTATGTATTGGAATTTGAAATAAACTAAAGCTAAATATAAATATTATAACCACTAATAAAAATGATAAAAGTGCATGAAAAATGACTAAAACGTATTAACTTAATTAAAACCTGAATGAAAACTTAAATTAGAAATGTTGCTGTAGCAACAAAGTTTGTTTACTTTAAATTTACTAAAACAAAAATAAAATAGAAATATTTTAGAAAAAGCTCATAACAAAATGACTCAAACTAAAATTAAAGTAACTTTGGAAAACTTTCTTTTAAACAGGAACTACAGATGGAAAAGATTCAGCAGAGAAACAAGGAGGTAAGAGATAACAAACACAAAGAGACATCATCACACTGAGCTAATAATTCTCTTTGATTTCAGGTCCCAGTGACTCATCTGACACCACTGAAAAACCAGGTCAGTTTCTGGCATCAAGAGTCTAGATATACAGGACATAAAAGAGAGAAAGAAACCATGACCTGACCACTGCATCACAGCTTTCACTGAATTTCACAAGTGCCAACAGAAAGTACTGACATCAAGATAACATATGAATGAGTGTGATAACACAGCGATTAATGTTTAACTGCTGTGTGTTCAGCATCAGTGAACTAGAAGAACTAGCATTAGATTGCAAAGCAGGAGACATTCAGTCAACAGGAAAAAAGATTAGTGGAAACAGGCTTCTGTTTAATCATAATGATTAAATACAAGAATTTAAAGTTAATGCTTAAAATTAAGTGAATTTACATTTAAAATATAATCTCTGTTTTGTTTTGTTTTAAGAATAAACTCAATTTGACTCAAACAAAACTTAATACCTCAAGTCATTTTCCTTCAAGCATGAATCTTGATTTAGGAATGTGTAAATATTTGTACTGAAAAATATTTTTTGCAGCTCAAAGCTGTGTCACACTCCATCTTTCCTGAATACTGTCATGGCAACAAGACAGAAAGCAGCAAATATTTATGATCCACATTATAAATGAATGATAATCAATTAATTTATACAAAGGATGGTGATGTTTGGTCTTTGTTGATATTGTAAACTAAGTGTACCAAGATCCTTAAAGTGATTAAATTTTTGTGTTTATACAATTATGATTATAATAACTATATATAAAAAGTTATATAGCGACTTTTTATCTCGCAATTCTTACTTTTTTCGCAATTGAGTTTATATCTCGCAATTCTGATATTTGCCCTCAGAATTCTGAGTTTACATCTTGCAATAGTTTTTTTTGATAACATTTTTTTAAATAAAAAAGAATAAAGAATAAATAAGGTATTTGCAACTTTTCATTTCACACACTCTAAAAAATGCTGGGTTAAATTCAACCCAGTGCTGGGTAAAATAGGGACAAACCCAGCAATTGGGCTGTTTTAATTTAACCCAGCATTTTTTAGAGTGCAATTGTGACTTCTTGCAATTACAAGTTTACATCTCGCAATTGACTTTAACAGAATTCTGTTTTTTAAAATTTAAATAAATAAATAAAACACAAATTAAAAATAAGGTAATTGTGACTTTTTATTTCACAATTGTGACTGTTCTTCTCAGCATTGTGAGTTTATATCTACACTCTGGGTTGTTTTGACCCAGCGGTTGGGTTGTTTTGAGTCAAAACAAACCAATAGCTGGGTTTGTCACTTTTTAACCCAGCATTTTTTAGAGTGTAGCAATTCTGACTTTTTTTCTGATATAAACTCACAATTGCGTGAAAAAAGTGTCAGAATTGTGAGACAAAAAAAATCACTGAATAAGATTCCATAGCTTAAACTTATATGCTAACACATTAGCAGTCATTTTAAGGAATGAAAACCACTTCATGATGACACACTCTAAAAAATGCTGGGTTAAATACAACCCAGTGCTGGGTAAAATAGGGACAAACCCAGCAATTGGGCTGTTTTGACCCAGCGGTTGGGTTAAATGTTTAACCCAACCTTCTGGGTAGTAACCCAACCGCTGGGCAAAAACAACCCAATTGCTGGGTTTGTCCCTATTTTTAGCATTTTTTTAGAGTGCACTAGGACTGACACAGACATGAAGAAATTAACTCTACACTTGCATAATTTTCTTTTCTACAAATTTTCTTTCTTTTTAAAGAGGTTGACGGTGCTCCCGACACATCAGACACAAACAGTAAGATTCATATCACGGCCTTCACTTTTGTTTGAGATGTATTTGAGTGAAGCATTGCCCAAACTAACAGCTCGACCCATTTCAGGTGACAAAAGCCTAGATGAAGCCACCAGCGGCCCAGATTCGATAGGTATGACATAACCTGCGCATCAGTTTCCTAAACACACAACAACAATGCAATGTGTTGTTTCGTACAAATATGAAAATGCCTTAATTTCTTAAACATTTTACTCTCCATGTATGATTTCCATATAACGACCAATATATTAACAAGTATTTTTTGTAAAGACTATCTGATTAAAATACACAAAAGCCAAAGTGAATCCACACTGTGGATAAAACTATAAGCGGCATGCATCCCATTCAAATATATCATTTCCTAACAATAGCAGGAGTAAATGGCAAAAACATATATTTGTTATGCAGTTATATATTTGATTTAAATTTCTTTATCAGACACAACAGATACTGATAGTGACACAGAAAAAGACACAGACACAGATACTAATACAGAAACAGATGCATCGCAGCAGAAGACAGGCGATTCAGGTGGGTGAAAGCCAAATATCTATTTTCATAAATACAGAATACACATGTGTGCAAAATACCCTCAATGAAGGACCTTCCTTTATCTACTGCAGATGAGAACAACGAGAAACCATCAGCGGAGGACAGCAAAGGTATGAGAGATCACAGAAACAAACCAGAAGTCAAATCAGATAGATTGCCTCATAAGATGATGCTAAGTCGATTTAAATATGTTATATAATATTTCAGATGCAGATCATGTTGATACACATTCAAAAGAAGAGGAATCTATAGGTAAACAAACACACTTACTGAAAAAAAGACACATTTATGTGTGAATAATAAAAAGATTTTGTCATTATTTACTAATGGTCTAAAAGTTAACTAAAATTACCAATTTTATTGGTTTTAGTTTCTAAAAATATTTTATTTTTTAAATGTTCTTGGCAATTGAAATAAAGCGGACAAAAAATAAAATCTCGCATAATATAAATAAATATTAGATGAAAATTAAAAATAAACATAAAACTGACAAAAGTACATCACAAAATACCTAAAACTGTAATTCTAACACACACATACATATAATTCATTGAAAATGTTAGTAAATAATATACAAAAATAAAAGGATAAATACTGAATTTATTTACTCATCTTTATACTGTTCCAAACCTGTATGATATTATCTCATTTTACAAAAGAAAATGTAAAAATTACTCCATTTGTGTGCCATGGAAAAATAATATCATACAGGTTTAAAAAAAAAAAACGACAAAAAAGTGAGTAAATATTGACAGAATTTCTGGGTGAACTCATTCCATTCAGAAAACAAGCATTTCAAAATTTCTAAATTAAAACTCCCTCTTATATTCCCAAGTGTGTGTGTGTGTGTGTGTGTGTGTGTGATACATAATGATTTACTGTCTCACTATTAATTAAACCTCTGCTTCACAGACACGGATGTAAAGGCAGACACTGATTCAGATGGCTCAGGTAGAGATTTCTCATGCTTCAAAAGCAGAACATGTTCCTGTAGCAACTTCCTAGTTGATTATTGAACAACAGTCATAACAACCAATCAGATTTGAGGGTTAATGTTAGGCTTGAGCGTGGGCCTTTAATCATTCTTATCAAGCCACCGTTCCCCTCTGGTGGTAGTTAATGGTTAGGATAAGGTGTATGAACACTGTTAACATTGTTAAACACAAACATTGTTCCAGCACCCACAAAAGATGTTCCAGGAACACGTCCTACTTGGCACAGTCCTTTTTCAATGCAAAATAATATATTCTTCTGAAACAATGCTGGCATATATATACATTTTCAGATGGGGATTCTGTGGAAAAGAAAGATTCTGATGATGCAAACAATACAGGTATTTGAAATCACTGCAGAAATGATTTCAAATCAAACGGTGTCAAATCAGTGTTTGTTTACCATTATTCATATACTATTATAGTATTTATTAATATTTAGAATTAGTTTTTATTTGTAGATTGTCTGTTTTAATTTTAATTTTAGTAACTGTTATGTGCTTTTATTTTTTATTTTTTAAATATACAGTGGGTACGGAAAGTATTCAGACCCCCTTAAATTTTTCACTCTTTGCTTTAATTTATTTTTATTTCTGTTTTTAGTAATTCTAGATTTTACCTTAAAAATTTCTTTCAAAATAAAAGTTTCAAAAGTTTTATTTTCTTCAAAAAATAAATAAATACAACTTTTCTTTGAAATAATGATCCTGTCTGATTTAGCCTGTATAGTTCATAACTAACAACAGTTGTGTTTTTGCTCTGATGAAGAAGACACAGATGATTCATCTGACAAGGACTCTTCAGACACAGCTGAGCAGCAGGACTCTGATGGTGAGCTTAAAAACCACAAAAGAAATGTAAAAAATAACTAAAACTCTGTACTAACAAGGCACAATGTAAAAGTTAAATCAGTTTTTTTTAGGGTCATTGAGATACTATTAGAGTTTTTAGAATATTTTGAATTTGTAAGCGACACAGACAGCGACTCAGACACTGATGAGGTGAAACTTTCAGACGACTCCAAAGACCAGGATTCAGAATCGAAAGACACTGACAGCACGGAGAAGAAAGAGAAGGACCAGGACTCTGACAGCGACGCAGACACCAGCAGCGATCAAGACACGGCAGATTCCCCTGATGCAGCAGACGCCAAGGACAGCGCTGAGGATAAAGACAAGGACAGCAGCGACCCGAAAGACACTGAAGATGATGGAGACAGGGAGAAGGACACCAATGAGAAGGAGGACACCAATGAGACGGGCAGCGATAGCGATGAGGGAAAAGATAAAGAGGACCAATCCAAACCAGACGAACAGGACAAGGAAGACACCAGCTCAAAAGAAGACGCCACAGCCAGTCAGTCTGACGAAAGTCCACTGGAGGAAATGACAGAAGACAAGCAGGAAGACAACCCTGAGTCTGACAGCTCCAGTCTAGACTCAAATTCAGACTCGGACTCTGACAGCAAGGATAAAGAGCAGGACAAAGAGAAGAACAGCACAGAGTCCACAGACACAGAAAGCTCCGACAGCGACAGCAAGAGCGACACGGACAGCTCAGAAACAGGAGGGGAAGGTAAACATTCAAGCCTTCACCTTTTACGGTCATTAAACCACAATATCAATCGACTGATTAATGCTTTTATGGCTCCAGATACTGATGAAGACAATGACTCCAGCGTGGAAAAGGAGAAGCAAGGTATTTACTGATAATAAATATGGAAGACCATTTGTAGCTCAGAGTAAAAAATAAATCCAGATAATTGTGAGAATGTTTAAAATAAGAATAAAGTCACACTGTGCAGTATGAAGTCTCAAATGAGATATATAAAGTCATAATATAAAGCCATAATTGCAGGACATAGTCATTTTGTGTTATATAAAGTCACAATTTTGAGTTTTAAAGTCATACTGTGAGATATAAAAACACAGTTAAAGATATAAAGTCACATATTGAGGTATAAAGTCATAATTGCATGATATCAAGTCAATTTCAGATTTAAGATGCAACAGTTGACAATATAAAGTCACACGTTGAGATATAGTCACAATTGAAGATAAAGTCACAATTTTGAGATATAAAGTCACATTTTCACATAAAGTCACATTGTGAGATAAAAAGTCACAATTGAATAAAGAAAGTCACGATTGTAAGATATAGTCATAATTGGGATAAATTCATAAATGAAGATGTAAAATCATGATTGTGAGATATAAAGTCAAAACGGTCAAAAATAAAGTCATAATTGAAGATGAAAAAGTCAAGGTTGTGAGATCACATTTTGACGAAGTAATATTCTGAGATATAAAGTTATTATTGAAGATATATATATATATATCATAATGGTAACACTTTAGAATAGGGAACACATATTCACTATTAACTAAGAGTTTCCCCTCTTGAAATTGCTGCTTATTAATAGTTAATAAGGTAGTTGTTAAGTTTAGGTATGGGGTAGGATTAAGGGATCTAAAATATGGCCATGCAGAATAAGGCATTAATAAGAGCTTTATAAATATTAATAAACAGCCAATATGCTAGTAATATGCATGCTAATAAGCAACTAGTTAATAGTTGGTCCTTAAAATAAAGTATTACCGTCATAATTACAAAGACAAAGTCATACATGAAGATTTAAAGTCACTGTGAAATAGAAAAATAAACGAAAGGGGCTTCCGTAGATATAAATTCACCGGCAGTCTGTACTGTTACAGAAAAAAGCTGGGAATTTCTAATAAATGAATGTCTAAACCTACAGAGTCTCCTGATGGTGCATCAATAGAGACAAATGACTCCGACTCCAGCGGTAAGACAAACTACAACATTTACTGTTTACACAAAACACCTTCATTTCAATGCTAACTGCGAAGCAGATGTGATGTACAACACAACAGGCAATAAATTGTTCTACTCCATGTAAATCTGAGGCTTTTTTCACTTGTCTTCACAACGGACATTGGAAAATGATCAAGCTTTCATAAAAGAATCTAGCACTGGTTAAACAATATAATATAATGAAATATTTGTGAGTTTTATCTAAGTATGTCGTTTGCAAAAAAATGCAAGTTACTTTTGAATGGCCATCACTGGAGGACGAAGTTACATCGCACAGCATTTTTGATTCAAGTATGGACAGAAAAAAAACAACTGAAGATAACTGAGATATAAAGTCATAAACGTGGGATATCACATTTACCACATAGATATCACATAGACTCACACAGCATTTCTGATTTAAGCATAAAGTCATATTGTGAGATATAAAGTCCCAATTGTGGGATATGGTGTCACTAAAACATGTAAGACATGATGAAATTGATATTTATCTTTTTCTTCTTCTAGATGATCATGACAATGACTCAACAGATGCTACAACATCAAACGGTAAATAAGTCTATGAGCTCAGTTATGTAAGAATGAAGTGATGCCTTTGTGATGTAAAATGCATTAAATGTTATGTACTTTCAATTTTTTGCCATCTCTAGAGGAACACACTGATGAAAACACTGATGCAGACAGCCATGACGCTGCAGACGGTACGTCTCATGGGTCTAAAGCACTTCATTTTCAGCTTTACTATTGCTTACACACCTTAAGTATTATATTTTGGCACACAACTCACACCATTTGTGCTAAAGACATGAATGATTGTTACCTGTTACTCTCTGATTGGGCTGAATTCTCAAAGAATTCTGGGAAATTGTGAATTGACTGCCTCAATTCTTTCAAAACGCTTCTTTCTGTCTAGATGATGATGACACTGATGCCCATGATGATGAAGTCAGGGTTGAAGATGGCACAGGTAAGTCACTCACTCATTTGCCTCCTCACATCATAGTTGTCTCAGATTTTTCTCCCAAAATTCCTTATCAGACACAAGTGGAACAGATACAGTAAGTGATACAGTAAGAGTATAGATCTGGCACTAGTCTGCCAAATCCATACATGTACATAATTTTGTCTCAAATATATTTTGTTTCATTTCATACTTAAAACTGTGACTTCTGATTTAATGAAAAATGATAACACTTGTCACATCTTATTTTTTTACAGACGCTGCTTCTAAAACACACGATGAACCAGATCATCTTGATGACACAACACAAGGTAATGATTCTGCTTAAAACACTTACTTTTCAGGGAATGGGAGGTCAAAAGAGATCTTTACACATGCTAATCTATGTTCCTCCCTTTCTGCAGGATCAGATGATGGCAGTAAAACCCCTATGCCAAGCTCCTAGCGACCAGGACTCTACAAAAACACTGTAACAGGTATTACGTAATCACATACTGTATTAAAAGCTCTACATAGGCCTTTACTTTATGTTTATAAAGACAACATATTTCAAATTTCTATTCTTACCGTTGTCATAAAAGTGCCTGTCTCTTACCCCATTGTCTCTGGTTACTTCATCTGTAATCATAAGTAATCATACTTCTAACTTTATGTTTTTTCACATTTTTATATTGCAGTCTCCTGAACAATGAATGTACATTTGAAGGCGATTATAGCATATCAGTTGTATCAAATCAAATTCTAAGACAAACAATAATAATAAAGGGTAAATCAGCATATTGATAAGCAATTAACACGCATTTTGTGCATTCTAAATCAACCAATCAAAGTAGCCTACATTCAAGGATTTACAGTAAAGTTTAGTAGTTTACAGTTCACTCTATTTTTGCTTTTTTATTTCTCGTTTCTGTTATTGTATGAAGGTAGTGACCTATTTCGGTCTTAAAATGAGCAAAGTCTTTTTCAATGCCTCTTTACATTTGTGGATAAAGAAATTTACATGCGAGTCATTTATACATGTCAAACAGTCCGTTGTGCTTCTTGATATTGCAAACTGGCTTACTTCCGCGTTCCAAAAAAAGATGGATGACATACCCAACACAGACATTTGAAGTCACCTGTATCGCCCTCTGGAGTCTTGCGGTGTTACTGCCTCAATAACAACAACATTCATGACTTCACTGATGTCCTAGCATAAAGTAGCCCATTTAGAATTTGGCTCAAGCATGTATTGTGCATTGGAAATGCTGTCTAGGTAGGCAGCACACTTGGTTTTGGAACAGAGCTATTGTTCAACAAAGAAAACAAAAAAGACATAAAACTCATAAGACATTATAATTGATATAATTGAATAACTGATATATTCACTATATCATTTTTGTGTCTCACTGCAGATTTTTCCTGGAGAGACGTAAAAAGCTCCACCTGAGACAGTCAAGATAACCAGAGTTTCACATCCCATTAAAACACATTGACACGTCCCTCTCGTCCTTTCTCTCTCTCTCTCATATGGTGAAGGTTCCTTTCTAAGGGTTCTGGGATGCAGATTAAATTATTTGGCTGTTTGCTGTACATTCCATTTTTTAACTTTGTCCTAATTCTAGAACTTTTGTATCGTTTGATATATTAATTTGACCAAATTTAGATGGAAATGCATGATGAACAGTGAGGTTCTGGAACTGCGTATCTCATGCATTTGTCTGTTTGCGTAGGGTCTAAATATATTTTGTTTTGAGTGACACATCTTAGAGAGTAGAACTAAAAGAAGGAATTTTGAGAAAGCTACACGATTTGGGTCTGGTGAAAATGTCAAACCTCTGATGGTTCCACTGGTTTGGCCACATGGTGTCCCCATCCTTGGCACTGACTGAAAGACTGCAGCTGCTACAACGAGAACCTTCCCTCTTGCTCTCAGATAAACGCCGGCCTGAAATGTCACAGAATGAGATATTTTCTGCCCACCCAATGATTTGAGACTGTACAGACAATTTCTGATAGAATCTCTGATGTCTATGTCTCTGTGGAGGAATACTAATAAACTAGCAATGTAAGAGCACAGATTGTTCTGAAAACTGTCAAAAAAAAATTATTTTGTATAGATTTACAAGAAGTCATTTTAATATGTACACAGGGAGCAAATCTAATAAAGACTGGGTTGTCAGAAAATTAAACGACCATGGAGTATTTTTTTTATTTTATATATTTATTTGTATATATATATTAAAGTCTATATGTAAATCTATATATAAGGCAGAAAATGTGAACTATATATATAAATCATTATATAAATAAAGTTTGTATATAGAGAGTAAAATAAGATAACATAATTATAATATAGAATATATTGATTTTGGATTTGGTTAATAGCCTAAATGTTTTATAAACCTAAATAAATAAACAAATAACGTATGTATGTATAATATATAATATAAAATCAAATAAGTGTGTGGTTTCGTGTGTGTGTGTGTGTGTGTGTGTATGTATACATATATATAGGCCTATCATGTACATCAGTTGTCAGAAAATTAAACGACCATGGAGTATTTTTTTTATTTTATATATTTATTTGGTGTGTGTGTGTGTGCCAGTTTTTCTATTCTGGTGTGTGTGTGTGTGTAAACCACAAGCACATGCACATCTTATTCTGGCTTTTTAAATTTAATTACAACAATTTTCAACAACATAGTCACAAGATGATAATAATAAAAACAAAACAAGAAAATAAGAAAACAAATAATTAAAATAAATAAAAATAAAATTCAGTCCCCCATGCAATCCAATATATAGATACTACACCAAAAATAACAAAATAGTTTATATATTTATAGCTTTATCTTAGTAATACGTATTATCTATCTAATTTATTTTCAAAGTATTTCAAATACTTTTGTGTCAGTTTATTATGTTGTTTAGTCCAGCCCAACACAATTCTTTACCTGAAGAGCAAAAGGGGGCTCTTTTTGGTTTATTTCAACTAAAAATAGACACAATTATTAAAAATTCTAATCATTAGCGACAAAGAATGATTTATTAATTCATACAGATGGACCAGAACGACTTCATTGTCAAATAAGAATGCGTTTCACCTGGCTAACTGGATCAATTTGTTTGAAATACCTTTAATATTTAGGTTTAGGTCAGTCTAGTTTATATACGTAAAGAATAAGTCTATATTAGGCCTATATAAATAAAGTTGCTCTCCTAGTATAGGCCTATATAAAAAAAAAAATTATAAACCTAAATAAATAAACAAATAACGTATGTATGTATAATATATAATATAAAATCAAATAAGTGTGTGGTTTCGTGTGTGTGTGTGTATGTATACATATATATAGGCCTATCATGTACATCAAACATTTCAGCAACGCAAGTATAGTTTGCGAGGCTGAACACAGAGTTAAACATTATCAGATCGCCTTATGAATGGATCATATTTCAGCGATTTTAGTCAGAGAAATAAAGTCTTATCTAAGCTCTTATGTCTTAACTTTTTTAAAGATTTAACCAGACTAGATTCCTTGACCCTTACCCATTGAAAGAGTTAAGTTTCCACGTGTGTCTCCACCGGGTCTTTGGAGCGCAACACAATCTCGCGTTACATCTCGGTGGTCTAAACCTGGCCCTGGGGTGAACAAACGAGAGGATGAGGAGGAAGAGGAAGGTGTACCGTGGACAAAAGCCACTAAACAGCTCCGAACAAAGCGCTCGCGGCCCGCCTGTCCGAGCGTGACTTACAGGTCTCTGTGTGCAAATGTTCCCGTCACCCCAAACTTACGGGAGGCCGATGAAACCAAAAGCTGGGTTTCAAAATGGAGACGGCCAGTGAACCTTGTCCCTCAGTGCATTAGCTTCCCCCGCGGCCCACTTTCCCAACAGGGCGGAAGGGCGCGAGAAGCCTTTAGAAATATTATACTTTAATTTAAAGCGTAAGAGGGTTTAAACAATCACTCCTATCTAGTGGCTGATATCTGTGAGAAAAGACCTACCTTTTACTGACAAACAGCGACACACTTGGTCGAGCGTTTTTGCACGTAATATAAGACGCAAGCGAATTACTGTTTGTTTAATATCCAAAACTAACAACGAGATAAAAACCCATTCAAACTCCAAAAAAGACACATTCATAAGAGTGTCTGTTATCTGAAAACTCATTTATCCGCATCTGTTGACAATCCATTGAGAGCCAATCCTGATTTCAACACTGTGTTTGGCTTTGCTGAGGGTCGAGACAGGTGTGTGATAAGTTCTGTCCACATTCGCTTTTCTTTTCATTTATTCAATTCATTTCTCTGTCAGTCATTCAAATAGTTTTGAGTTCTTAAAAGTTCTTAAAGGAACAGTTCACCAAAATTATGTTATTGTTTATGGAACATGAAGATTTTTATGTTGTTCTTTTGCAAACACCTGTTTGAGATTTTCCTTCCATAACATATCTTCATTCAGACTGGAGAAAGAAACCATCCAAAATACACATTTAAGTGTTTATTACACTTTATCTGTGTCTGTAGGTCTCGATTCATTCATATCTTTCAAGGGAGTTTTCTAAAAAAAAAAAGTTTTTTTTTTCTTCTGCATTGAGCCAGAATTCTGAAGGTTTGCAGTTTGTTTGTTCATATGGCCTATAATTCGCCTGATTTTTGGCTGTGGACATTGTTTTCTGATTTATGGAGTGATAAAAAAAGATATCCAAAATTTCAGATATCTCAAAAATGTATCCAAAAAACCTTTAACTCAACAAAATGTAACAAGAATTTTGAATCTGGCTTTTATGCGATTTCGGGTTCTGGAATTTTATTCAAATTAGGGCATATTTAATTAGATAATGCCTCATTTGCATATATAAACACAACATTTCAGAACATGTGTAATACAAAACAATAGTCCTAATGTACTGTGATGCTTTCATTAGACAACTTAGAATTGTGTGCAGGTACTGCCAAAAAGTAACATCAACTAGAAAGTAAATTAAATCATCACTTTTGGCAATGCAGTAATCATTCTGTGGTTGTTTAATATCGGTGGCGAACATTCATTCGAGACCTCAGGCAGGAAATGAGAACTAGTCTGACCCTCTGATCAAGTTTAACGTCCACCTGTCCACACTGTTCCTCTGTCCTTCTTAACGACATATTAGATTTGGCCCACGGTGATTTATTACAGAACGGTTCAGGGACCCAAAACTCCAGCGCCGCATAGTAATTTCAGACGGATCGGGTTTCTAAACAGAATGGCTCCTTCAGGACGATCAGAGGTGGCTCGTGACCACTGAGACAAAAAGTCCTAACAGAGCTCTGGATGAAGCTGAAATCTGAGAATAGAACAGGAATCTGTATGAGAAAACGCACAAGTGTGTGTGTGTGTGTGTGTGTGTGTGTGTGTTTGTGCTGGACCACAGTAGAACTCACCTTTTGCTTCCTACATGCTCTCCTGTGGTCCACTCTCTGAGGATTTTTGTGTTTACCCAAAGTTTTTACTTTTTTTTTTTTAAATACTGAAATGTATTTTTAAAAACAACATTTTTATATTTTAAAACATGCAAAAAATGGCCAAAAATATATTTATGTAATATACTTAATATATTTTAAATATACTTTAAATATATTTTATATATTCTATATATTTTATTTTTCTACTTATTCTACATACATACACACACACATAATAGTTTTAGCCCTTTTTATATTTTAAAATCAAATTTATGTTTTAAAATATTATATAAATAGAATATAAAAATATTATATAAAATAAGAATTTAAAAATAATAAAAAGTTTAAAAATATATTATTTTAATACAATATTACATTGCCACAATATTTACAATTTTTTTTTTTAAGTAAAATACATATGCATAACACTGACACAAATTTTCTTGCCTCTAAAGTAATTTTTGTCATTTTAAACAAAATATATTGTCATTTTGAAAAAATATATTTCTGTCATATAGGATACAACTGTGGTGGTCCGTCCTTTTCCATATGGTCCGAGTGCAGTCTCTGTATACGGCAGCCACCCGTTGTATACCGCCTGACCCCACCGGCCGAGCTGAACAGATCCAGGACTGGCACTTCTAATCTCGTCACCCAAGGTTGGCTCCAAGAGCGCTATGGTTTCAAGCACCTGACAGAGAGCTTTTGTTTGAGATCAGGCAGGCCTGCAGGAATGAGGGAAGCCACAGGACATGAAACTGGTCAGCAGAAATCTGGCCACATCTGCCAACAAGGCCAGCTGATGTGTAATAATACAGCTTTTCAATATGTCTTGTCATTCCACACTGCTTCTGTGATAGACACTGTACCAGCAGGTGGACATTTCTACTAGCAATAGTAGACTACTACTCTAGTGCTCAAGTACATGTAAAGCATTTTTGTGAACCACTGATTTAAGTTATCTTTCAACAGCAAATGAGCCTAATATTTCTGCATAAGCAGGAAAACAAAAGCTAACCGTATAGTCACGCATTATGTAAGCTAACATGTTTTACATGTTGTGGATTCAGGGTTTAATAATGAATACACACAGTATCATTGTAACATAATAGTACAGATCAATCAAAATACACACACATAGTTCACATTTCACATTACAACAAAGAAAGTTTGTTTAGCTCAAGAGCTCATTAGCTTTGCTACGACAAACGTCCAATTAGCTCATCATTCTGTGAGGAGTTTATCACAGAAATGCATTTCAAGGCCTGCTGGTGTTTGTTACAATGTAAAACAAGCTTGATGTGAACTGGCACACGCTACAGGATTGCAATCTACTTGCCAGCTGCCAGCTATTGAGTTCCTGCTATGGGACAGGAGCTTTAGCTTATGCAACACATACAGATACCATAGTACTTGAATGGACCATGCTAATCCATTAAAACAGCAGTAATTAGTAATAAGTAATAAATTAGTATAAATTAGTAATAAAACAAAGTAATTCCTAATGCTATTGGCTTTCTTTCCTGAAAGACCTGGCAACATTTGTGGTTCTCATTTACTCAATATTACAGGGAAAAAAATGCATAAATAAATAAATGCAAAAAAAAAAAAAGTTAGAAATTTCTTTTTACATGTTTTTTTTTTTTTTTTTTTGTATTTGTATACATATCTTTGCTATATTCATGATTTAGGAATATTGTACTTTAAGGTGTAAGAGGTCCTTTTAGATTATATTTTAATATCAATTGTAAAAATCTAAAAACAGTGAAAATAAAAATCATAATAAAATACAAAATAAATTGGAAACCTAATAAAAAGAAAAAAAAATTTTTTTTTTTACATTATACATTATCATGATTAAAACCATAAATAAATATAAAGATAAATCTATTTAAAAATGTTAATAAACAAATTTATGATATAAAATGTCCCAATATTTGTACAGACTATATAAGCAAATAAATAAAGTAAAAAATAAATTAATACAAAAAAATTAAAAAGGAAAAGAAAGAAAGAAAAGAAAAAAAAACAAACGAGACTGTACAAAATATACTATAGTATTTTGGGGACAGTTTATAAATTTTTTCCCCAATAATTCTGTTTTTAGAAATTGTAATAAATTTTGAAAATATGATTTAGTAAATAAAATAAAATAAAATAAGAGCAAGTACTTAATAATAAACTGCACCATTATTCGTTTTTTGAGTGTAGCAGTTTTTTTGTAAGAGCTAAATCACAAAATACGCATGAAAGAACCATCTGGAAACCTCTGATCCTGAAACCAGCCAGGTCATCTTGTTTTCCAAGGGTGAATAAATGAGAAAACCTGTAACTTCCTGCATGAGTTCCTGTGGCTCTGGTCTCTGTGTGATGTTGTGTAGGCTGGCTGTGCCCTCCACTGGCTGAGCTGCCTTCCACCGCCGCCTGCTGGGCCAAAGGGATGATGGGACATACCATGAATAAAGACACTTTTCATCCCAAGTTTTGGTATAATTAGTCAACAGCTAATGTGCAGTAGATGTTCATCGTCATTTGGGCATTTAGATGCTTGAAGACACTGCAGATACGATCTGAATATAAATGATGAATCACAAATGTGTCTGTACTCACCTGTCGTTTGATTGGTGGGAGTAGTTTGAATGGCAGGGGCTGGGGTTAGAAGTCCTGCCCCTTACCAATATGGGGGCTGGAAGGGTATAAAATGTATTTTGGTGGCCAGTCAAGCATAAGGAAGTCAAAAGCACGTTTGCTGGTTGCTTTATGTCTGCTGCACAGTGTCCCACATAGACCTGTGCTAAAGATGCTGTCACGGTAAGTCAATGGCGATTGATTTATAACAACCAATATCTCTGAAATTGACTTCAGGGGACCAACTGATAGCTAACTGATCAATAATTTATTGAGATATGTCAAAGAAGGAGCAGTAGATTGGTTCATTAAGATTTTTACGTTTATGCATTTATCCAAAGCAGCTTGCATTGAATTCAAAGTACATGCATTCATTCTTGCATTCTTTGGGAATCAAACCCATGACTTTGGTGTTGCTAGCACTGTGTTTAAGCTACAGGAATGCTTTTTTAATAGACCAAAAGCATGTTTAGTGTAGGACTTGATGCATATGACTTATATCTTGTTATAGTTTCAAATCTGTGTTACTCTAATCATTTGATGCTGGGGATCTCATTTAGGAATATAATGTGATAGAATGTCCGATAACGGAATACTTTAGCATAAAAACATGCAAACTCAGTGCTAAGTATTACTTTTAACCATTGCTTGTGTTTTTCAAAAGCCCAATCGATGATACATACTTTGTATGCAAGTTATAATTATATAAAAATTAAATTAAAAGCATGCATTTCTCAAGAGAATTGTTGGATTTTAATGCCCATTTTCAGCTGTTTTTGAGAAAATGCATGATAAATTGCTAATTTTCTTGTCTACTAAGTGTGACATAACATTAAACAGCATCTCATTGTGTTTTCTGGGTTGAATTTGCTTCACATGTGCTTATTCTGGACTCATCATTTTGCTTTCACAGAAATCTTGTAATTGCTTCAGTGGCTGTTGTGTTTCTGGCGTCCACCCTATCAACGGCTCCTGTTGAAGGTACGAGCTCTTTTCCCAGAGGGATTATTTAATGACACACTCTTATGTTCAACATACAGCGCCCACACGTCTTTACCCACACATTAAACTGCTGAATTATTTCTCCGGACAGATAAGGAGCCTGAGGAAAATGACTTTGAGGCAGAAGAGGGTGAAGAAGAACTGTCTGAGGAGGAAGAGGGTAGGAGATGAAGTTCTTTTAGATGTTACCTCATCATCGTCCTGATGAGAGCCGATCGTACCACATCAAGAAGCTCATATTGTGGGCAGTTTGACACTAGATGTGATCCTGCAAAAGGACAAAATGAGAAGTTAACACTATAATGTTCATGATAAACAGTTTTAAAGTAAATCTCTTTTAAAACTTTTTTAAAGTCCGTTTAGCTTCATAAACCCATTGTTAACACCATAAACGCATTAATGTGAGTAAACCCAAAGTCTCAAAGAGAAAACAAAAGAGCATTTCACTTAAAACTCTATGGGCTCATATTATTCTGATAACAGTCAGCAGATCTGCGAGGGATTCGGGACAGAAAGAGGAGAAGGGCATAACAAAGGAGCGGTTGTTATAAACTGTATCGATTTTCCCTTTTCTTTACAGATGATGATGACTCCAAAGGTCAGCATATGAAGGGTGGGTGACAACTTACCACCATTGTGCAAAACCTCAGTCATCTTTAATAATCACATAATAAGTCATATTTTACTTCAAAAGTCAGCCTTTCTTAATGCGGCTGAGCTATTCGAAACATTTGGGGTTCTGCCATAATCAAAAATTACACTTACAAAAAGTGCCATGGTATTATTTCTAGTATACTATGTTTTGTGGACATGGGACCAATGGTAATAGTTTGTTTTTTAAGCTTGATCATTATGCTTTTAAAGTATGGTAACCAGACAGTATCATAGTATCTATCAAAGCAGCATGCTATTATATGTTTTTTGGACATGACACCATGGTAAAACCATGTTTTTTGGACAATATATTCTTGGCGTATCATGTTAATACCATGATATCACTAACAAAAATATTGTGATGTCAAAACATATTACAGTGATGATAATATGGAACTTCGATATACCATGGTATTGAAATTCATGTTACATAATATTTCATATTGATATAGTATTTTCAAAGTTCTTACAAGAGTACCTGGATTTCAGTACCATAGTATGTTTCAAAATACCACAGTATTGGCATCTGATACAACCATGGTACCACAGTACTTTTTGTAAGGTAATTAAGATTTACTAGCATTCAAAAATTTGGGATCGTTTTTTTTTATATTTATATATATATATATATATATATATAAAAAAGTCTCTTATGCTCACCAC